ATGTGAAATTTCGAAATTTTCTGATGCATAAAAGTATTTCTAATGTTAAGATAAAAATTACTTTGCATGATAGATAAGCAAGATGTGAAAAGAAAAAAAAAAAGGCATGAGAGAAACATTACTTTACAAACCTTAAAACTTAATAAAAAATAAATATTGTGCATATTAAAGCATTGTAATGTTTACTGATAAACTGCCAAATTTAATTAACATTCGCTTACTAATTTAAAAGTTATAGCATGAAAACTATAACAAGCACAAAATGGTTACGAGCCCGGGTTGAAAGAGTTAAGTGGAATAGTCAATATTTTCATTCTCATCTGAATTATATTCAGACTTATTGGCTCATATCATGTTATTTGTATATCCTTAAAAGAGACATTCCTGAAATATGCTGATTCCACTACCAATTGGCAGTTTTCTTTAATGTTCAAAGATAGGTTATTTGATGTTTTGTTCATGGTGGAATAGCATTACTGCTCATTCAACGTGCTCCCCCAATGTCTGTCCCACTCATTACGATTCTGAAGGCTGTTTCTACTTGCATCTCCTTTGGCTAAATTGTCACAATAAGCTCTATACATGTCACCTGGTATCTTCCTTTATTATTTATTGCAGACTTAAATGAGCACAATCCACTCTGGAGTGGTGGTGTAAGTGTTGATAGGTGGGATTGATCTGTGTAGTGTTTATTCTGAGATCAGAATCTTTTTCTCCAGTACTGGAGAAATTATCTATCTTGAAGCCTTGAGTCTGACGTTTATGATCATAGATTTGTCCATTATTTTCACCTTTTAATTTTTTTGTGAGGGGAAGTGGACAGTATAGTGATAATTTTCCTACCATTCTGAAGGAAATTGGCCACAGCCTATGGCACCTGAGTTATTTGCCAGAGTGAAATACGAAGAAAGTCAACTGGCTGTCCTTCATCTTTCTCTCCCAGATTTATCCTGCCATTGTTAACCTCCCGTCTCTGTTAACAAATGCATTGAGGCAGTAATTGATCATATTGTTCATGCAGCTGTATCTACTGTATTTAAAACTGCAATATATTTTCCACAGTGTTCTTGTCCATGAGAGACACCTGAGCCAAAAGGTCGTAGAGGGCTCAGAAAAGATTTTCTACACTTACTAACTACATAGACTTTCCTAAGGCTCTTGCTAGTACTGAACATATTGGGCATAACAGTCTGAAGGAATATACAGTTCAGTGTATGCCTCAACATAATTAGTTGCAAAGTAGCTGTAGTAAAATTTTGAATTCTTCATAACGACATTTTTCTACGTAACTTGTTTTATATTTAAAAAAGAGTTTTTGACAGTTTTATTTGGACAGCTTTTTGTCTTATACAAAAGTTTATGAACTTTTATTTCAAACATTATTGATAGAGAGACATCAGAAACTGGAGAAATAGCTCCTGTGACTTGAAACAGTACAACTATAGTTTGTTTTTAAAAATTGGGATAACAACACTTGTAGTTTTTATCATTTTAATTAGTACACGTGTTTTGATTCTGAATTAAGACTTAAATTGTTTTGCAATTTCTTTTTGTATTTCAACCATATTAGTAGCTAATTGATGGTGATTATATTTTTTACCAGAGGAAATGTCCACATATCTAAGATATGTGAGAAGGCTGGATTTTTTTGAAACTCCAGATTATGACTACCTAAGAAAGCTGTTCCAGGACCTTTTTGATAGGAATGGTTATCTGGATACAGATTTTGATTGGTGTGGAAAGCAACAGGTAAGCATTTCCTCAATTAAAAGTGCCATGCCAATTTTATTTACAACTGTAGAAATTCTCCTAAACTACATAGGGTTGAGAATGTTATATTAAACTTTTTTTGAGCCTCACAATGTTGTTTCTGTTCATTTCACCACATCTCGCCATGCTCTGTCTAGCGACTGTTCATCTTTGCATTAGCCTTGCATTGTAGTTTCCATTACATAAAGCTCAACTATAAGTCTTTTTCACTTCCTTGAAAACTCTCCATAATCCATCTAATGTATGAGGATGATGGTTTCCCAGTGTCCAATTGCACAGAAATCCGTATTTGCTACATCTGGTGACTTGACCAATATGTCTGTGTGTGTGGAATAGAATGAAAGCTTATATCATTCTTCAACTTTAGAAGCATCTGATGGTTGACATGAGTGGTATGATTAGCAGCCTTATCTTTGTGAACCCACACTAGGTTGGCCTATTTTTCAGTGTAGGAAATCCTTGTTGATTATGTTGCATAATGTTGTCTGGTGCTTGTGAATAGTGTTTAGTCAATGACCTTTGTGTTTGTGGATTCTTGTATTTTACAAGATGCCACGCTTACCATAGTTGGGATGTGCATCATGTTTTCTTTCTGGATGTCCCTAGTGCCCCATGTGGACCTGTATTACTTTGTTTTTCAATGTTATTAAGTATAAGGGATATCCCCATCTTTGAAATTCCAAGTCTTCAAGTTAAACACATTTTTATGATTGAATATGTGAATATTTTATATTGAAAAGACTGTTACATACCCTTCCCAAAAGCTATCAGTTTTTGATAGCATCAAATTATCTATGAAATGTAAAAATGAAGTTCTGATACATTCTGTTCCACAGATACTTTATATTGACTGTGGCTGTTTAGTCATCTGCTTATTAAGATATTCAAAATCGTTTTAGTTTAACATACTCAGCCTCTGTATTTTTACATTAGGAATATGTGTGTGTAAATGTGGATTATCAAAGATCCTCAGAAAAGAGCAAAATAATTTTTTATTAAGTAAGATAATTGTGTTACTTGTATGTCTACAATGGTGGATACGTGTGATCCTTAACTAATGAATTTCATTCCTTTTATGTTATGATCAAGCACATATTTTTGTACTAGTTTATTATTATTATGTGTATTAATGTGCAATAAATAAGAAGTCTTATATACTTTAATAAAATTAATTTTGTTTATTTTGGCATTTGATAAAAATAACAGTGAATGATGTTACTCATATTACACCATTTTCTGGCTACAGACACGAAGTAATTACATTTTGGGTGTGTAATAACTAAATAGAGCAATTAATGTGATTGTACTTCTTGTGTTAAAAACATTGAGAAGCATAGATAATGCCAGTTAATCCATCTATAACTCCTTATACATTGTCAGTTGATTTAAATTGATAATTTAATTTGTTTTGAGGAATTATTACTAAACCATGAATAATGAATAAATAAATTAGTCAACTGGCTTATGTTTGTTTTTTGTTGTTTCAGTTTGAACTTATGATGATGATGAGGGCTATTATTATTTTTATTATAACTAGCCTTACATTACCTGTCAAAAAAGACAGGTTGAAGTTTTGTAAAAACCTCCCAGAGGCCACTGCTTTCCTTAAATGAGCTTTGTTCACCAAACTTAACCCTTTATCATAAAAGGAAAACAGTCACACATTCTACTACAATAACTAACATTTAGAAAGAGCCCTAAATTACAATGAGTGTCAAAATCTTTTTTTTGCTTAGCTTAAAATTTGTTTCTTGAAAAAAAAGTGCCATCATCTGATTACTTTTTATAGGGTGATGTTATTAGATCATTACTGGTACACCAAACATTTTAATGACATCATTCTTTATAACTTGAAATTTTATATTCTAAACAAATTTTTAGTGTGTTACTAAAAGGTAGAAAATGGCTTTTATATATGTTAGATTTGTTAAAATTTATGATTTGTTAAGATTACATCTTCATTCCAAGTCCATGCATGTAGCCCCAGTTGTCCAAGATGCTAATAAACAACTCTAACTAGTAGGAGTCTAAGGCCTCCCTAACCTAACCTTATCACCCAACCCTTTTTGCATAATGTCCCCCATGCCTGTTTCTCCCCATGCACATTTCCTATATTTTCTCCACATGTTCAATTTCCTTCTACAAATGGGGGTTTACTTCCATTCTGGCAATGCTGCTGATGAGTTTAGCATAGGCTTTCCCATCTCCTCCTCTGATTATCTTCTCAAGGTTCTTTTAATAATAATGTCCAACATTAATTTGATTTAAGTATAATCTGTCCTTGTTAAAGAACAAATGAAATTTACCAAACCAAAAGTACTTTGTCATGGAGAGTTGGTAAGGTCGTCATGCATCTATGACTATAGGAGCATATGAATTATGTATGAAAGTACAAATTTAAAAATAAAGAAGTTTTAAAAACTGGCATACAAATATTATCACTATTAAGTAATATAGTAACAACAATTAACATGGGAAAATGACATGTACAGTAAAATAGGTTATACAGAGTAAGGAAGCACAACAAGACGAATGTTTAGAAGGGGATGTGCCATATAAAAATATTGCACGCCACTGGTTTAATAGGTATATTGTTTCGTAAAGTTGAAAATTCAACGATGAGCATTGAATTCTAAAAAGTATGCAATCCAACTTAATCTAACTAAAAAGACTGTGAATGACCCGTTCCTGGCTTTAGTAATGATTAAATAAATGGATTAATAAATAAAATACTTTTGTTTTGTAATACTCCTTTTATTTCTTATATATTTTTTTCTTTGATATATAACAACTGCTACATGCTGAGCCTATTATTCACAAGTATTGAGTTTTAAACCTAGACAGCATTTAACAGAATATAAGCCTAAAGTGTCTGTATTTAGAAAATATCCCTAGTTTCAAATATAAAAAGTTACATAATGTAAAACCAAATAATCTGAGGTTAATATCTCCAAGTTAAACTGTGCATCTTAAACAATTTGCTTATAAAGTTCCATAATGGTCTGTGAGGCCTAATGCAATAATGTTACTCAGGATTATTCCAACATTTTAATTGTTAACTCTAATAATAAGCTATATTCACAGGAATTATCTTTCAACTGTTAGGCCTAAGCAGTACTTAGTAGAATCTGAGCCTTAAATGTCTGAAGTTGTAATACACTCAATTTGGATTAAGGGTCTAAAAGACATATTAAGCATGTTTCCCATTAAAACCACACTAATGGTACAATCACCTGTTGAAATTCAGTCTTTTATACAATATAGATCAAATGACTTTATATACATATATATATATATATATATATATATATATAATTAATTTTATTACATAGCTGAAATTTTGTTATAAAATATAAATATTTTACTGCATGTTTCATGTTTTGAAATATTTTTTGCAAAAGTACAACATGATTATTAAACTTCTCTTAAAAATAATGTTTTGAGGTGAGAAGTGATATTTGTCCACAGAAGTAAAATCTACATTTTGTTATATTTGAGTATTCAAAGAGAAGTAAAATAGAATTCAGTTCTATTATGTATTGTAGAAACAAGTTATTAATTTAGATTTGCAATTTTAAGTTTTATTTATTATATCTACTTTTTAAAGTACCAGCATGTAATTTGAACATAATTACTATAATGAACAATAATACATTCAGAAAAAAAAGTAATATGTGTATGTTCTGTTCACATAACATACATGTATTACTTTTTTTTTCTGAATGTATTATTGTACTTAAGCTTGTTCTTTATAGTAATCATGTTGTTGAGTAACCCAACCATCGTGTAGTATTCTTATTTAAACTGTCTTGATCCATTCACTATTTTCATAATGTGTTCAGGAGGCAATACAGACTCCTTTTTAGAAAACAATCTTCCTTGTATATATATACTAGCTCTTTGCCAATTATGAAGTTACCAAATCATTTTAATATTTCTTGGGAAACAGTTTTTATTTTTAAACTAATTCTGACAATTTTTGTAGTATTAGGAGGTTTTTATCATCATAGAGTTTGTATTTTTAAGCACCAAAAATGTCTTGATAGTTTGTGTCCCTTAAGTATTTTGTAATTTATTTGATGCCTAAATTGTTATATGCACATTCCAAAATCATATTCAAGCTTGAAGTGTATTTAAGTAAGCTATTAAATTTCCAGATTTGCTAGTCTATTTATACCTTTCTAAACACTAGCCATTGTGATTTGTCCCTTAAAAATGGCATTGATTCTAAATTGTTTTAAATCACATCTAAAGTAGTAGTTTATTAAACAAGATTTATCTGAAAAAGGGCATTCCTCTAAACAAGTAGGAATTTTTATGTTATCCTTATACTTAGTACATTATAAAGTCCAAATGTACAGTAATATGCAAAAGTGATGTATTTAAGTCATAATGATTTCTGGGTCTCAAATATTGTTGATAAAATCTGTTAATTATTAGACAATATTTATGTATCTTACAAGGTATATATTTCTTTCTGTGGAATTTTAGATGTGAATAAGCATTTTAATTTAAAATTTTTACTTTAATAGGCAACACCTGTGGGTTCCATTAGTATTGCTCAGGAAGTTGTAGTTTCACCCAACAGAGAAAGACATATCACTTCTAATGCAAGAGTAAGTTTTGAAGTAATCATAAATAATAAAAATGTAATACATGTTTTTAATTTTATCAAACTCAGAAATTAAAAATGGCAGAATGACAGAAGTATAATTATGTAACATGTGGAGTTAAAATAGGATTTATATTATGTATTTTTATGTATGGTTGGTGTTTTAAAATGTTTCTCATGATTTTCACATAACAATAACGGGCAGCAAATGTATGTTGGGATGAAATTGAGTTTTTCTTAATTTTTAAGGTATGAGGGCCTATTGCTTTTAGTACATCAACTGGTAGCTCTCTATTATGTCATGTATCTGGTACAAATCTGATAAACAAATTTTATGAAAACATTACATGTATATCAATATATTAAATTGTGTATTTATTTGCTTTCAATCTAATATCTTTTTGTACATACTTTTTTTTTTGTTTCCTGTACAATATATTAATTGTAGCTGTTGTTGATAAATGTATGATGATGTTAATATATCATTAATCAAAGAAAAGAAGCTTAGAATTAAGTCTTTTTTAAAAGAATGTGCTCATTTTTAATTCAGAAGATTACTACATCTCATTAGTTAGGTTTTGTTATTACACTGCTCGAGCTGCCAGTCTACATTTGGAATTATTTATGACTTTGGAGATTATTTAAAAAAATCACACTAAAAAGATGTTGATTAATGAATTTCTTTGGGAAAAAAAATTAAAAAAAGCTAGCCCAAAATTTTGAATGTGGTTTTTTATTTATTCACCACTATTATCAACAGCCTTAAATTCACTAAAATCAACCACTGTACATATGACAAACACATCATTAAACCCCTACAAATTTCATCTGTAATGCTTCTAAGTTTTATTGCTGTTAATTCCCTTAACTGTTGTCTGATTGTTGTATTAATTGAAGTGGAACACTTGTTTTTATCATTTGTAATTATTGCCATCATGGTTTATTGTAAACATGGTACTGATTATCAGGAATGTTTGTTTTACAAAAATAATATTACATGGTCAGGAAGTGTGAACTGTATGTTTTTTCATAAACAGTTGAGGAGATGATGAGTTTAATTACCCTAAATATCAAAGATATCTAGTGACACCTCATGTTGGAATACAGAATATGTTTTTTATGTTATTGAAAACTTGACTGACAAATTATTAAATTCCAATTGGCTCATAAGGAATTAAAGGAACAAATAAAATATATTTGAAGAACAGCATAGTGCTTATTTTATTTCAAATCCAAGCTACAACTTTTTTTTTTATCTACTCGCGGAGAAGAAAATTATACATTAACTATAAATAAAATGTATTTCAGATATATTATTTGTAAGTGTAATTTGGTTAGTGGAAGTAATGAAATTACATTATTTGTCTTTTATAAAATAAAAATTGAAATGAAGACAAACTTGTTATACTTTCAAAAAAAGAGTTAAATATTTTGATGTGTACTTTCTTTAGCTTGTGTTTATTGCCTCATGTTTGAATCACGTCAAGGTATGGCTGTTAAATTTTTGACTAAAAATTTATGGCTGTAGATTTAAAATGACCATGTTGAGCACTGTAGTATTTATTATTTGTTTTTCTCTTCAAATTAGAAGGTTGCTCCTTTGCTTGATAAAGTGGTTGAATATTTAATATTTTTCTGGAAATCATTAGCTTTATGTTGCTTACAGAATAAAACTTCATAAAAATGTTGGTCACTGGCACATATTTGTTCAAGTGATTTAATAAGTTGAGAACATTTCCAATGCACTAATCTCTACTATCTTTGTAATGACCAGTGGCCCCAAAATAACTCATTAATCTCATGGCATTTCCTATAATGCCTCAAGTAAACAGTACTTTTTGTCAACTTTATGCCATCCCTTTTCACGACTTTTTATGCGACATGCAGAATCTGGTCAATCTTGTAATGGGATAAAAAGGTAGAATGATTTTAAATTTAAAGAGTAATTTTTTGTGAAAAGCTTCAAAACAGATATTGTAAAGATGAAAAATATTCATTGAAATGCTTCCAACAGTTTCAAATTCTTTAATGCATGCTATGAGGATGTAATTTTTGCATATTTAATGAACTAATATTTGGTTTTATGGTTTCTATTTTTGTCTCTACTGGTGCAAATTTTTATTTCAATGCTGTATTAAAGTTCTTAAGAATGGAAAGTTTCAGATTTGTTGAATTCTTATAGATGCACAAGCACAGCTTCATAAGCACTGAAAACAGTACTAAAACCGAGAACAATTAATAATCTATTCTGAGGCTAATAAATAAGTGGAAGTCAATTTTGAACGCTTCAATAAATGAACCTAATATTAATAAAATATTTTGTTTGCTGCAGTTAAAAACAGCTTATAAACTTTAATAATTTTTAGTTAGTTTTATATGGATTAAACTACATATTAATGCTATTATATACATGTTGCTGTTAGGTAGCATCACCTAACATCAGCATGTACAGTATCAGAAATAATTATGGAAACGCACAGGCGATACACACAGGAGTGACATATAAAGAGTACTGGGAACGGTCAATATATCATTTGAAAACCAAATAATTTGTACAAGGAACTAGTATTTCATATTTACTTTAAGTAGAGCAGTACACCTTGTTTTGAAAGTTACCACAAGTTTATCAGTCTATAACTGTAAAATAATGTTCACTTCTCCAAGTGTCTTTTATTACTCCCCATAATTCAGATAAGTTATTTGGTTGCCACCTTACTTTCTCAGTTATTGTGTAAACCCATACAGCCTTAACAATATTCACATCAGGACTTTGTGCAGTCCAAGCCATGGTCGCAAGTGTACTGACTTTTTCCTTCTGTTATTTCACTACACTTGCTATATGCTTGGAGTAACTGTCTTGCTGGAAGATGAACCTCTGTCCAACAGGTCTTTGTACTTGAGGGAACAGCATGATTGATTACAGTGTGATTTTTATCTGTCATCAGTCAGGGTGCTATCAGTTTTTGTATAGATCTTGCATACATTTGGTTGAAGTACAGTCCACATTTGTACTGGTACTCATACATGCTTTACTGTAGATTTTGTATGTTGACTGTGATAATGTTTTCCTCTCTGCTTTCAAACAAACTTGCTGATTGTTGCCAAGTTAAATTTTGATTCTTATGTAAAGATCATCCTCCTTCAATACTGCTTATCCCATTGTTTGAATTCTAGTGCCTATTTCAGTATTTTGGTTTGGTTATCTCTCCTAAGTGGTGATTGATCAGCAACACATCTGGTGAGGCCACTTCAAGCTAATGTATATCTTAATGTGCTGATGATAACATTCACATGTATACTTATGGCAAGGCCATTGGCATGACCTTTGCTGGGTTGTGTATCACTTAAAGAGCATACTTTGAGCTATTTAACTTTGAAGAGTTTTGGATTTCTACCTAAACTACATCTATTATCAACCATGCTAGTTTCATGTACCGTTGTCAGAATTTCTGTACAACTCATAATTAAACATGAAAATTTGTTTTACTCCCCTGCATGGAGTAGTTGTCACCCTCCAAAACTTTGATTTCTATGTGTTTGTTTTGTGGTATTTTTGTTCTGGTAATGATAAATCCATACACCACACTATTGCTAAGGGTAGTATGATTGCCTCTACTTTTTATGGACATAATGCTGGTAAACTATCAATATGTGACTGTAATCTGGTGCAGTTAAGTTTTGTACATTAGAATAGTTTTCATAATTATTTCCAATACTGTTAATTACAAGCAGGTTAAAATGAGATATACAGTAAGACAGATGAACCTAAGTAGTAAATGAAAGTAAAATGATGCAAAAACAGTGAACCTTTACTGAAAGAAATAATTTTCATTATTAGACAATACTTTCAAAAGTTAGACATTAAATAATTTTAAGCTTAAATTAGGCTATGACTATCCATATATTCGTCTGATAATTACCAAGAAGTTACACATTTTTATTATATTTTATATTTCATATGTTTCATAATTTTCATCACTACTTTAATGTGTTCAAGATGTTTAGAAAATAATAGTAGACTACTTTATTTATTTGCAGTTTTGGCCCGGCATGGCCAGGTGGTTAGGGCGCTCGACTCGCAATCTGTGGGTTCAAATCCCCGTCACACCAAAGATGCTCGACCTTTCAACCATGGGGGCATTATAATGTGACAGTCAATCCCACTATTCGTTGGTAAAAGAGTAGCCCAACAGTTGGCGGTGGGTGGTGATGACTAGCTGCCTTCCCTCTAGTCTTACACTGCTAAATTAGGGACGGCTAGTACAGAACTCCATAACAAACCAAAACAAACAATTTGTTGTTTCTCAACTTTACGGATGGTATTTGTTAAGAATTTTTTTTTTTTTAATACTGCATTGTCTAAGACCGTCAAAATACATTTACTTTCCACATGTAAAGTCAAAAGTATATGATATTTTTGTTACATTAACTTGTGAATTCAATATGTTCATGGTAAGAGATGAAATCCAGGCATTCAAAACAAACATGTTGCTTGCTTATAACATTAGTTAATGTTAAGCTCATTTGTTGTTAATATCATAGATAATGCACAGCTTAGCTGATAAGAGACCAAGAAAGATTTAGTGATACATTACAGGGCTGCATTTGGAGAAAACTAATGTCATCACCATATTTTGATTTAAAAATAAAATTTCTAACAGATTAATAATAAGTTTTAAAACTATTTTTTTAGTTGCTGTGTTGTTTAATTCCATTAGTTAAAAAAATCTAATAAAGCAGTTTTACTCTTTAAAAAAAACAATTTTTATATATGCATTTATCTTGCAAATAGCAATAGAATAATAGCTGAAACATAGGGCATAGTATTTCTCAGAACTGCATTGAAGGTTGTAGAAAATTAACAGTGGAAATGTAGAGCATTAATTACCATCTAACAGTAATAATAATAATAAAAACAAATTAGTAAATAATTACCAGTAAAACTGTGGATGATCATATAGGCTACCAACCATAACAAAGACTAATATTATCGCTACAAGTATAAGGGAAAATAAAATTATTGTGAAATCAAAAAGCTATGTAGAGTTGGCTTCTGAACTTGAAAAAAGGAACCAAACAAGACTAGCATTATCCTTAAAACTAAGAGAAACCCGTTATCCTTAAAACTAGCAGAAAATAGTAACATTTCTGTATGCTGGTTTTAAACCTTTCATAAATACATAAACATTTTTCTGCAGAGTAAATGAAAGTGACATGTTTGCTACACATACAGGTTATAAAATTTCAAACTATAAAAGGAGGTAATGAGTCCTGCCTTAATATGAAAAACCTGTGTTAGCTAAACAAGTAAAATATATGTTGATCTGCATCGTCCTTACATTTTGCACAGATCTTGAAGTTTTGTGTTTTTTTTGTGTAATTGTTTTAATACTTTCCTAGTTCATGCTTTGTAACTGGTAGGATCAAAGTACAAGTAGGACTAATATAATGATCACATAGCAGACTAAGCTGTCTTGACTTTACATGGAGAATAAAATTCCTATATTATTGGCTTCTCCACTTTGTCTATTGAAATCTTGTTGTTTGAACTGAACCTCAGATTTTCATATTATACCTTTCATTTAATTAACTCTGGAATACTACTTTTATGACTATTTTACAATAGAGTAACATTTTATGATTGGAAATTTTGGTTCTATTTGTTTTGCTAGTGAGGAAGCCAGTTATGCAGGGATTTAATTCTCCATGTAAAGTTGAGACAGCCTAGTGTGCTATGTGATCATTAACCGATCAAGTGATATGACCATTTCCATACCTATTTTGTTTGGTTCCTTTTTTTAAAGTTCAATAGCCAGCCCTACATAGCTTTTTTTATTTCATGATAAATTATTTTCATTATACTTGTTTGTTTACTTTTTTTAGAGATGGCGTACGTAGGTTACTAGGTTATAGAATGTATTCTATAGCTATATAAATCTTCCATATAATGATGATAAAATAGTTAGTCACAGATCATGAAGACAGTTTTGCTCTATCAAATGATGATAAAATTAAAGTTACTGCTAGAACTAGGTAGGTGTCAGGCCTGTTGAAGAAAGATGATGATGAACAAAAATAAGAAATCTTGGTTTTGGCTAATCGCCAGTTTTTGATTTTGGATAACACTGGAGATAAATTGACTATTCTAGGTAGCTCTTCATATCTGGCTTCTGGTGACCTGTGGAGGAGAAATTCCAGATTAGTTTTGTATTGCTTTAGTACTGGTGTCTACGACTTCCCTACATAGAGTGCTAGTGTATTCTCCGATAGCTTTACTTTCAGTACTTAGTGTCACAAGTATATTTTGTAACATGATTATTTGTCTGTACATTTATTTATTTTTAGTTCTTCTTTAACATCTGCCTCTGTTAGTTAATGTGAATTAAGTATTAGGTATTTTAAAGTCTAAATAAAAGGAGTACATAGTTTTGTATGCAATGCTATTTTAGTATCTTATTAAACTGGTATACGTGTTTTGAATTTAAAATCATTTATTTGTAGGGAGCACAACAGAAGGCTGCTTGGAATGAGCATCAGAGGCCATCTGGTGGAAACTTTTTAACTGGACATTTAACCTTTGCTGATCGTCATGGCTCAGTACAGGTTGTGAGTTCAACTAATGGAGAATTGGGTAATGATGATCCAGGAACTGGATATTCTAACACACCCATCACAGGACCCGTAGAGGTTGAAGTTATTTCAGAAGCAAAGTAAGTTATAAACTTCTTTTAAGTAGAGCTTTAGTTTTTAATTCTTAACTTATTTAGCATGTCTGTAGAATTACTTTATACAGTAAGTATTTTTCTAAATATGTAGTAGAATTTTATTCCAGCTAATAGGTGTTTGCATTGATAATGTTTATGACATATTTCTTGGTAGAATCTGCTTAAGTAACTAATATTGTTATGGTATAAACAAATCTTACATTTTGTTCAAAATTACTTTTATAATTGCCCTTAGTATATTGATAGTAAAATAACCAAACATTATTATAACTGTTATTTATTCAATTTAAGTGTCTTCAGTTGAATGAGTTTCAGCACCTTTAGTATCCTTTCAGATTTAATATAGGGTAGAAATAAATTAGAAATTATGACAGAAACCTTGATGTGCAATATTTGTCAAAAGTAAACCAAGGGAAGTTGTGTCAAACAATATAATTTTTAATAATTTTGAGCAGTACTTACTGAATATTGCAATACTGGTATATTTGTAACACTTATCAAACTTTTTATATGAAAAAGAAGTCCTTTTCCACACGTGCAAACCCAATTAAGTATGTAACCATATTCAGTCTCACATCACATTACAATTTTAAATACTCCTTTGGAAAATGAAAATATGTTATCCATGAAAATTTCTTGAGCAGTAAGTAATATAACTTTAATTTGTTCATGAAGCAGACAAAGAAGATGGCAATGAAAGGCAATAAAATTGAATTGAAAACATTTTAAAATTCAGAAAATTGGAGATTATTAGATACAAAACCAAAGAAGGAGGACGGAGAACATACATAATAAATCTGATGAGTATGTTGTAAAAAGCAAAGAAAGAAACCAAAATCAAAATGAATCTTTTTAAACATAGTAGTGCTGTCTAATTTTTCCTTTTTTTATAATTTTCATAAACTGGTTAACTTTACTAATATAATGCAAATATTCGTAATATTAAATAATAAATGTTTTCTTGCTATTTCCCTATCATTATGCATCACTTTATAAGCACCCATGCAATTTGTATGCACAAATTCATTTGGAAATTTGAATCATCACACTTGTTTGGTTTTTTCTTGTGAAAGAAGTCCTAAAGATGCTCATTTCATGTATTTATATTAATTAGCCTATCATTAATTGCTTTCTTGTTTCCTACAACAATTGTCTTGTAATATGTGCATTTTCTAGCTTATGGAATTTTTTTCCTTTTCTTTGTTTAATGTAGAGATATAATAAATTACTATTGTATAATTTGTGTTTTAATAAATAGTATGTATTTCCTCTTAACTTCTTGGTAGTAGTTTTTGGTTTGAAATGTGAAATGAACAATATATTCTGGCAGTGTGTTTGTGTTAATTGTTATGATTTTAATACGTAGTGCTCGTGAAAGAAATAATTTTGTTTCTAAAATCTCAAAAAAATTAGAAATTGGTGCTTATTATTCACTTTTTTATTTCATTAGTTTTCTCTGTCTTTTCATACTGTTTGTATTTTCAATTCTCAATAAGTGTTGTGACAAGAAAACTGTTTTCAGTCAGTAAACATGTTTTTACTACTTTTGTAAATTTTTCTGTACAAGAATAGTACATCATCAACTTTGTGGTGTTCTAGGTGTTGCTGTTTTTTCAAGAAGAAGAAGAAAAAACCTGTAAGACAAAAATAATATACCATACAGTGAGAAGATCTTGGTTGTGTAATATAATTTAGACATTGTTCAGAAAATCCTTTAACTTTTCTATTATTTGGCAAGTTTTAACACTTCATACATCCATCTTGATGAAACTGTTAATAGGACAGCACTACGTTCCTTCAACTCTTTCTTTGTATCACATCCTATAATTGTGTGTTCTCGTTTTTCTGACAAACAGTAAGCTAAACTGATGCTATTTTAATATAAAAGTTCTCTTCTACCACACAATGTCACATTTAATATTTTTATCTTTGCAAACACTTCTTATATATCTGTAGCCATGGTCACTAGATATTGGAACCTTAGTCTTTCAGAACGGCCTGAGAATCCCAGTCACATTGTAGTTCCTCAGCTGCTCAGCATTCTTGCTTTGATCCCAAGTACAAAATGTCATGCATCTGGAGAAGAAATTGTTTTACTCACTGTCATTGCCGTGTTATAAATGATGTGTCTTCGATACTCCAAACTTTTTTTCTGTTGGATGTCAGTACATTTTTGAACCCTCATCATATTGATAATTTCCTTGTTGATAATGTGCCATGTATTAAAATGTTGAAGCAGCTGGTCCTTAGACTTCAAACTTCATAAACAATGGTTGTAGGTATCTAACAAGATGCCTTTAAAGAGCCTTGATACATATTTACACCATCATTCTTCTGACTTTGAAACACACAATACAAATCAGTCTGTCAGTGTTCACCAAAGTTTCTCTCTATATTTGTAAAAACAATTTGGTAAAAAAAAAAAGGAATTTTAGAAATGCTCTTCCGAATCATGTTTTGCAAATAACTCTGGATATTATACAATCAGTGAAATAGTAAAGTTTTTGGAAACCTCTGTGCAACCATTCCCTCCTTACTTTTTGACAGCACAGTTGATAATCTTTAAATATATATATATATTGATTAATTAAAAAGAAATTGGTGATCAGTCATGAAGATTCAATGCTTCAGAAAACTGATTATTTGAAGTATTATCTTGTCTGTTTGTATATTCTTCCTTTCATGATTTAATTTCTTATATTATTCCATCCAGTTATCATGTAAGCATGACAAGAAGGTTTATAGATTTTATATTCAGAAGATTTTTTCTTTATGATAGAAGTATGAAATGATAAAAATGGTGCCCCTTGTGGTAACTAATCAGATTTTTCTCAAGTAGATAAGCGTCTCCAATTTTTTGTCACAATGTTATTTCTGCAGGTGTGTCATCATAAGAAACTCAAAGAAACTGATAATAAAATGTTTCATATGATGTCAAAAAACAAACAAACCATAAATGAAAAGGAAAATGTAAAATTCACTGAAAAACAACAACTGTTGTGTATACTTCACTGTGTGCTAAGGTACTTTAATGTTAGCGCAATTGAAACTTTTAAATGTTAGCCCAGGTTTTAGGCATTTGTTTATGCTGTGTTAAAATAAATTGTAGAAAAACAATTTATGTACTTATTTACTATTCACTGCTGTGTTTTTCAGTCATTGTCACCATAAAGTTATATTCAATTCACTGCACTGTTGTTAACCTTGTATAATTACATCATATGTTTATTCTAATGACTCCTCAATAGTAATTGTGATATGCATGTGTTCAAATGTCCTTAATTAAGTTAAGTAGGTGATTATTGAGATATATATATATGTATATATATGTGAAAGTTAATGTGATAATTTTGTGATGTAACATTCTTGTTAAGATTGGTTTTTCCTGTTTTACTATATCAGATATAATTCATGCTTGTATGTTGTCTTAACTATCTGTATATACAATGTCTAAGATTTCATTTTTTATGTTGTTACTGTGTACATACATACAGATATATATAAATTTCTAAACCAGCCCAAGTGACCATTAATAAATAAGAAAGACATGATTTTCAACAGTTCTGTTTTATTCAATAGCATTTTCACAGCATCGGATGACTGCTCCTGTTTCTTGAGGTATCTTTAAAAATCCCCATTTTTAAAATTTTAAGTGGTTAAAACAGTGTAACCATGTACAAATATTGAATTAAAATACAGAGGTTTGATTGCAAAAATATTATAACCAAGCATTAACAACATTTTTATCTGGTAAATCTTTTTATTAAAAGAAAATTAATCAAATAAAACTGAATAATGGAAAAAAAGTGGAATGAAAACAAGTTAGTAATCTGGAGTTATGTGTGTGCATAAAACCAGTTGTCTGCTTCTAAGTGAAATAAAAGATATATATGTACATTACTGTTATGAAAGTTATGTAATAACTTCTACCAGAACTGCTAAGAAGTCTAGTAATAATAATAGCATTAATTATGAGTAATGGGCAAATGGCAAAAAACTTGTGTGACCACTTTGCCCTAGGTCATCAGTTGGGTACTCTTGCTGCTAGCAGTGTTTTTGGCTCTTAACCCAAGAACACTAGATGAGACTGGGCATGTTCAGCAATATAAAAAAGCACTGAAGCAGCATTGTCTCACGTAAGGCTTCATACAATTTCTTTCACATTTGGTTTGTGTAGTTTTGACTATTTAAGAAATTTATAATGTTAATATTATAGATATTTAAAATACATATTGAACTATTTAAATTTAATACTGTAAATTACTGTCAGGTACAGAAACACACAAACTTGCATATTATTTATGTGAGAAGTTCCAACTAGGTAAAAGTTAATGAGTAAACAAGTATTTTATCCATTTTCTCTAATTTCACTCAATTTTGCATAGTTTTAAAATTTTAGCCAGAAGGAAAATATGTAAATGTTCATCATAATTATTTGTAAGAATAATAGTCTAATGAGCATTGAAACTGTTTATCATTGTCTGATGTGTTGAAATGTAGTCATTATTATAATGAATAGAAATGTAGCTATACACTATTGGAAATCACTGAAGTAGCAAGTGTCAATGAATTTTGAATATGAAATAACTTTAATTAATGTTTACTTGAAGTGATACAAGGATAAATCTAAGATCACTGTCTAGTTTTTCTGAAAATGTATCAAATCTGATTGACTCGTTAATCAAATAAGAACTTTTATTACACAGTTTGCATGTTTGTATTCATTACCTCATGACATACTGATAAAGACGTGTGTTATCGTTTTAGTTTTTATTTGAGGTAAAGTATGATTTTTGTTACATAATAGTTACAGATTTGTACATATGCTTTTACTCTTAAACACATTAGTCCCATGCTCGGTGCCCAGATACTGACAATCCTACAGACTTTTTTGTGCTTTGTTTAGCAGCCAGGTGTTTAAAGTGGCCAGAAACTACCTTAAAAGGCCCAAAATAACTAAAGTTTATATAATAAACATGTTCACCTGAAAGTCTCATGAACTTCACATATAGTATTAAGTTAGTTGGAAATTTATATAATGCTACATTTTAATTCAAATTTATATCTCTTACTAATGCATTAAAATATTATGAATTAATATTTGAAATGTGAGATATTTTAGTATGAAAATTGTTTAAAAACATCCTGTGTATAAAAATCACATATACAAGTCAAGAATTTTCTTACTATCTCTCATTGTGGTGTGTAATGTTTTTTTTATTTTTCTTTAGAAAAGGTCATTTATACAGATCAACAATATACAGTTTTTCTTTCTTTTTTTTTTCTTGTATACTTTGACATTATCAGTTATGCAGGAAGCAAACACTAACTCCTGAGATTGGAAGTGTATAGTATGTGGATTTCATTAAAAGTATTTATTTACTCTGAGCTTTTAATTGGATTTATTCAGGAATAAATTATAATTCCATGAAATAGATAAAGATCCATTTATATTATTAGGACCTATGCTTTTGTTGGCACAACCATTAAATTTAAGTGGTGTGCAAACCTGTGTACGTAATATGCCTTTGAAGCCAAATCTTTCTTGTGTATCTGCAGTCCAGTACAAAGTAAAGATATAGTGGAATAGCCATCATATCCTTGGTTACACAGATTATCAAGTGGAAGATCATGCTATGTACTTCTCTATTTTCACTGACATTAGTAATAACAAAAAAATTGTCCAGTTTGCTGCAGACAGTTATTGTGTCTAGGCAGATGGAAAAGTTTAGCCTTAATGTCACTTAAAACAGCTTCATAAACAGTCTCAGTACTAGCATGAATCATTTCATTTTGAGATGTAATTGAGGCTTAACAAGGGTATCCATGGAGATTAGATCTTACTTCTAGCAAAAAAGAACCTTAACAACCACAAAAACTCCTTTGGATGAGGATTTGGTTTCAGTGTGACCTCAGTTATAACATAAATTAACACATATCATATCCCACTTCTGCTGCTTTCTTCTTACTAAGTGTTCTATCTACAGTAGTGAGTGGCATGAGCAAGGCTTTAAAGTTGCCTAGGATGACCAAAGCAAGTTTGCATTACAGATAGTACTTAGGTCTAGCTCTTTTTACTATGTGTGCAGAACATGTCTGAGTCTGTGGTCAAATAAATATACAGTGTTCTGGCATTGCATTGTGTCTAATTACATAAAAAAAAATCTGTTAGCTTATTGATTATTTGTTCCTGCTCTTCACACTATACACCACTCCTACTGTTTATCATTTGTCACATTGTTTGGTTGGCTTAAAAGACTGATCAACTAGAACACCAAGATATTTTTTGTTCATAACACTGTTAAGGTTATTTTGATCAAAATTATACTCCCAATTCAAATTGTGATATCCCTCATGCATTACGTTCATTTGTTATAATTAAAAGTCATCTGCCATTTAGTTGCCCAACTCACCAAATAATCTAAATCTTTTTTTAAAACATTAACATCCTCCTTCTAGCCAGCAACACGCAAGACTTTATCATTAGCAAATTTATTTAATTTATTGACCATTCCTTCATCTGTATCATTGATGTAAATTAAAATGAGCAGAGTTTCTAACACTGTGCCCTCAGGTAACCCATGTTTGACTGAACTCCATTTATAACATTCATCTGCTTTCTTTTATTCCACCTGTATTCTATCCAATTAGTCAACTTATCCCTCACACCTAGAGTAATTTTTTTTTTTTAAAAGCCTTTTATTTGACACCTTGTTAAATGCTTTTTGAAAATCTAGATACACCAAATCTTCACCCATAACTTTATCTACATAAGCAGTAATATCTAAATAATGTCAAAGATTTAGTAAGGCAGGATTTTCTCCTTGTGACACCATGCTGACTATCCAAAAAAAAAAAACGTCAAACTTTGTTAAATGACTGCAAAGTATCTTTTATCAGACTTTCAAAAACTTTTCCCACCATTGATGTAAGATTAACAGACCTGTAACTACCGAGACAATTTTTACCACCTTCCTTGAAAAGAGTAGCAACATTAGCTAATAACTTCCAATGTTCTGCACCTGTCATTATTCAAGGACATTGAAAGAAATTGTAGGAAGTGACTTGGGTATCAAATCATTAACTTCCTTTAAAACCCATGGGTAAATATTACCTGGCCCAGATGTTATATCATTCTTTACACTTCTCAATTGTTTCTTAGAAAGCTCAGAATTAATGTAATCCTCTTGTTGAATCTTATTTTGATCTAGCAACTGTTCAGGATGATGAATATGGTTCAAATTTTCATTAGTGAAAACTGAAGAAAAAG